AGGAATTTCAAAATTAATCATTAGCCCCAATAATAACTAGATACTTGAAGAGAGTAGAATGAAGTAGAGTAATTTCTGTTAAGATCTAGACCTTCAGGCTCTTGCCTTAATATGGGTAGAACTGTTTTAGTGCTAGCAACTTGATCTTCTCCTGACCAAGCCCCAATGTGTTTTTATTGGAAAAATAAGAGGGAAAAAGGAAGTCATGTGGGAACTATTAACAACTCATTTGCTTCCATTCAGTCATTTATTCCAAAAGCATTAATTCAAAATATTCTTTGAGCCCCTGTAACTTACAATGTTGTAGGAACTGCTCAGTTCAAGGTGCAAAGAAGTTAAAAAAAAAAAAAGTCCCCACACTGCTCCCAGATTTCTTATAGAAACCTAGGCAAATAGCTTCCTTGAACTGATAAGCCTCATGTTCAGATCTTCAATTAGTCTTTTCTATTATCTCAGTCTTAATGGCTATTCAATTTTAAATCAAGTGCACGTGTGTGTGCGCGCGGTTCCCTCTTTCTGCTTTATGTTTGCCATGGAGAGTCAGAAAATAACAACAAAAAATTGTCTCTTGCTTCTAGGAAACATGGCATGGAAAAGGATCAGATTGCAAAGTATTATTGTGATTCTTAGGATGGTGGTTAGTAAATAGTTTTCCAGATGGGATAGAGATTGGATAAATGCTAAGTGGACAGTGTTAACTGGAAGGACACTTTGGCATCCCAAGGTGAATAATATAGATGACTTCTTGACAGATATTATTTTTTGAAGTCAGTTTTCTAAGGGTCTTTTTCTCAGACCCCCCCCCCCCTACTCATTTTAATTTGCTTTGTTTTGGAGCAGTTTTGTTGTCTAGAGATACATTTACAATTTGTATAAATACATGTAACAGGAAAATGTAATGGAGGGCAGCATTATAAAAATTCTAATTTATTCATTCACTAAATGTTATTTTAAAGCACTTATGTCTCCTTTTATAGTTAATTTCATAAAGCATACTGAGTTTTTTCCTAAGAATTTTGATGGAAATAATAGGTAGGTTGGCTTATAGTACTTAATTTCTTTCCTTATACCCATAGTTGAAATTTGTAAGTCTCTTTGTACCCTCCCTTCTTTTTCACATCCTCATTTTTTACCTTCTAGTGGCCATATATTTAACACGTATAGACAATTATTTTAGTCATCACCAGTGTATCTGTACACAATATGCTTATTATTGTTACCATTTTATTTTCCAACTTCAGACTCATTAGCTTTCTAATATTAAAGTTAGGACTTGAAGTTGTTTTTTTATTACATGCTCTACCCCATAGCACATATCCCATCTCCTTTTAGAGTTCACAAATGGTTATATTTTAATCTTGATGTAATTACTTATTCATTGTTTATATTATTTTGATTATATGAATACCATTCACAACTGGAAAATGTAGTGTATAATGTTTACTTTTCTTGTCCAACATATTGGTTTCTCTGTTTTCATTTGGTTAGTTTTTTTGTCACTAATCCAACCCTAAAATTTCCCCTCATTTTAAAAAATTGCATTAATGATGGTAAAACATATGACATAGTCTATTAATTTCATTTGCTTGAATACATCCTGGAGGAGCTTCCTGATCTGCTTCAACCTAGACTGGTTGTTCTCTGATCCTGTGACATAGGTATCTTGGGAATTTAGGTTACCATCATCATTCTGGAAGAATTCCCTTTTCATTTCACATTTTACCATAGTTGGACCACATTTCCCAGTTCCACATAGTCTTTGTTTTTGTCTTATTCCTTGGGTTTTAATGCCATAACTTTTTTAAGAAAGTGGGAAATAAAAAATTGTTTCAAGACTATAGGTGGGGATATGACTTTATTTGTTCTTCAGTTATTTGTTGGTTTGGCTAATTATCGAATTCTATGTTATAAATCATTTTCCCTTTGAATTTTAAAAGCATTGCTCCATTGTTTTTCATTGATGCTGTTGTGAAGTCTGATGCCATTATTTCATTCATTCTCTCTATAAACCCTATTTTATATCTTGGGAAGCTTCTTGAATCTGATCTTTGTCTCTATTGTGTCTTGGTGTGGGTTTCTTCTGTTTTCTTGGGTACTTGATAGACCTATTAAATCTGTATATAATATCCTTTAATTTTAGAAAATTTTCTTGAATTATCTTGTGAATGATTTTTTACTTTTTGACAATTGTTAAACCTAGATATTCCGAAAATTTTGAATGTAAATTCTCATGCTGATAACAAAGTTTCCATGTCTTTTCCTGCCATGACACAAAAGAATGAATTACATGATCTCTTAGTTGTTTGGTCAGGCTTATGATTCTGTAACTTAGATGAAAGTCGTCTTTGGTGTTGGTACATTCTTAGAATATTTGTATTTTAGAGGCTAGCATGTTAAGTTGCAGAAATACTGTAAAATGTTTTGTAGGAATGCATTTTAGATAAAATAATATTTGAAATGTACTGGAGTGGCTAAATCTATAACAAGGCCACACTTGTAATATTTCCTTTTAAAAACTAATTTTAAATTTTTGTATTTTGTAAAATTGATTATTACAAATGAATGCTATTAATTTTCTTTCCTCTTACTCTTCAGAATGTTCAAGAAGAAACAAACTTGCAGGATTTGATGTTTACATTAGAGAAAGATTATTGCTTTAAAATAATTTTTACTTCTCTAGTACTATATTCTAAGAAACAGGGACACATTTTTTAAAATGAAATATATCAATATTGCTTTGAAAAAAATGAAGAGGAAATCTGTCATTTGCCTTTAGTATATAGAAGTTGCTGGGATATGGAAAAATGTCACGAGTTACTAGTATGTTCTTTTGTGAACTAAATCAGACTTAGGATGGTAGTTGATTCATTACCATAACCAAACAAACTGAAATGATTGTTTTGTATGGGTATTTGTTTTTGTTTTCAAATTTTCTGGCACTTACAAGTAATTTATTGGTATGTGATTTATGAAAACGCCTAAGAGAATTACTCTAAAAATACCATTCTTTTGAAACCATATTATTCGAGTATGGCATTTTTAGATGCTAAAAATATCTTTTAATTGTCTCTTGAGATTTGTGGGATACATGTGGCTAAGACAAGCTTGGTGTTTATAGTCTGACTAAGTCAATTCTCAGTATCCATATAATTCTTCTTTCATAATTTCTTCATGAAAAAAGTAATCATACAGATTCTGTTCACTTGCAACACAAAATTAATATAAATTCCATTTCAAACTAACCACCATCAAAAATTTCTGTAAGTCTGGTTTATATTTTGTAAGTGCTGTATGTGGATGCCTTGCTTAGCTTTAATTTTTGGAGAAATACATCTTTTAGAATTTTTCATCCAATTGTTAAATTGTGGTAATGGTGACAATATGCTATCATATTCTGGTTCTAAGAGTAATGCTCTTAGGTGTTTTCAAAAATCACATACCAATGCCATTTTAATGCCAATTTACTTTTAAATCTGTGTACCTACTGAGTTTTTATGCAAACAAATTTGCTTTGCCTATTAAAATAGCCATGAAGATTAACATTTTTAACTTTTATTTTAACAATTTTCTAAGTTCTCCTTTCAAAGGCACTAATACTAATTTCAGTGAGCAAGCAGAGCATGTCTACAGATGACTGCTAAAAGCCAGGAATCTTAGAAAATGCCTTTAGGATTATTACTTGACATATGGCTTAATTTCCATAGCTGTTTTATGAGAAGTGGGAGAGAATTATTTTCCTGTAATCAAGTCTATCTTGTATTACTATGTCAAGGAAACTATAGTTAGTATTTGAATATATTCACTTTTGAAAGAAAAGAAAACCAGGTATTACTGACCAAAGTGTCACTTGCAGCTACTGACTCACAATTTTAAGTTCCAAATCATATCTTGAAAAACTATGTAAGAAATTTTTTTTCATATTAATGCGGACCATCTAATACTTATTTTTACCTTTTCAGGTTTTTTAGTTCTTTCATGGTTTGTTAGGTAAAGCTGCTATTTTGTGTGTTTTTTTCTTAAGAGAGAGAGAGAGAGAGAATTTTTTTAATATTATTTTTTAGTTGGCGGACACAACATCTTTGTTTGTATATGGTGCTGAGGATTGAACCCGGGCCGCACGCATGCCAGGCAAGCGCGCTACCATTTGAGCCACATCCCCAGCCCCTGCTATTTTGTTTAAGTACAGGTACTAGTATGAGTTCATCCTTCCATTTTTATGTGTTTAGAACAGAGTAAAGTATATGTTATCCTATTGCTTGTCTCTTACATACTTTAAGGTTAAAGAAGAGAGGAAATCTGGATATTTGCTTGTGTTTTTCTCATCCCTAGTCTCCCATGAATACATGACTTGATTTATCTTGATCAGCCTAGTAACTTGCTCCACATTTTTCCAAAAGTGCAAAGCAGTTTCGGCTAAAAATACACATATCAAAATGCTCCAAAAATTGTGGCCACAGCTCAAAAATGCTGATCAATTTTGAAAATCTAAATCAGCCCGGCCATGAAACCGAGGGAAGAACCTTTGTGGTGAAGGACAGATTTCCAACAATTCACCACAGTCCTGTTCTTAGCTAGCGTTTGTGCTGATGTTGCCAGACAACTGAGGAATAGATGCAAAAAGCAGGAAGCATTATTGAATTGAGCCCTAGCGCCAATTTGGGAAAAGAAAATTAAAATGTAAAAGAATATTTTTCCACTCCTGGCGTCTGAACATAAAATGGCAAAATACATGGTTACTGAAAAAATTACAGAAATTGCTAATTTTTCCAGAAAGTCAAAGTCAATTACCATTTTTTTTGGTGTTAAAAAATGCATACATTGATAGTTTAAACTTTTTTTTTTTTTAACACGTAAGAAGTAGTTTTCCTGTAAGAATCAAAATGTGTATACATTTAAGTTGGGGGAAAAATCAAAATGTATGTACATTTAAGTTGGGGAAGTGTTTTGACATAAATGGCTGTGTGTGTGGTCTTATTTTAGTGTCTTTTGATATTTTTCAGGTGACACTTGAAGAATGGATGATGACGATTTTGGTGGTTTTGAGGTATGTATTATTATTTATGTTTGGGGGTTTTAACTTTTGTAAGGTTATGTATAATGCAGTAATCTATTTTGAAAATATATTATTTTTTGTTGGCATTCATGATATTTTCTTAATCACCTTGACTATAATCCTGGAATTAAAAAAAGAGAGAATTCAAGAAAAATTAAAAAGTATCATCCCTCTGAAAGTCAAAACTGATTGATTATTATTGAAGGTTTGGTTTTGCCCATAGGAATGATTTAAATTTAGGTAATTAAGTGCTACCAGTAGAAGCACTAAAGAAGAGGTTTTAAAAATTGTCAGCAGATGATTTTGCTGGGATACATATCTATTAGGAAATACTTGTGAGATGAGGAATGAGTCTTAGAGATCTTGTCACATTTGCATGTTTACACCTGTAACGAGTTGATTTAGTATATGAAGTACATAGCCTTTTGGTGGTTTATAAAACTAATTAGCATGTTTGTGTTATTAGATTATTCTCTCTAATAATTATTTGGTTGGATACTTTGTAAGTGGAAATTGTTAACTGAAGAAGCAGTGTCTTTTCCTTAATCCTTTTCAATGTGTGTTCATTTTATTGAAATATTTTATAACCCAGTTATTTTTATGGAGCCAGTATAGTCTTGCAGGAAAATCTCTGGATTAAGAGTCAGGATGCCTGAGCTCAAGTCCTGGAACTACCATCAAGTGAGCTCTGCGATTTTTTTTTCTTTTTTTTTTTAAAGTACAATTTTCACCTCACTTGGATTTGATAAAAAGTGAATCATAAAATTAAGGAATGTAATTAATGTCATTAATAGGATAAATAAGGTTTTAAGTATACATATAATGTTCTTAATTTTATGAAAGAATGGTGTTTTTTTTGAAGTTAAGATAACTTTCTGTTTTGTTTATATTCAATATCTATCAATATGGAGCTATTTAGTGTATAGACAAACCTACTTTTTGTATTTCATCTAACACTGGTTTTTGCTTAGCACATTTGAGTGTTTTCTGCATTTTATTTAGTATTTTAGTTTTTCTGAGGTGATTAAATCTTATTTATATTATTGAAATATAATATTTCCATATTATCATCTGGTTAATTGTTAAACAATTGTTAATTGTTTGGAAATTGTTGGCTATTTGGAGGATACAGTCAAGTATAATTCCCTTTGTTTAAGCCATCCTTAATATATAAAATATATAAAACTGAATGGGTAGTGCTCTTTGAGTAACAGTTACACCTCAATATTATGTTCAATCCATGTATTCCTTTCACTATTTCATAGGTGCAGTGTCAACGAACATTGTAATAATTGTTGCTATTAGGTTTCTTTTCATCCCAGCTGTAGAAGCATGTCAGGCTACTACCCTTGGTCATATAAAATATGTTTTTTTTTTTTCAGCTTGTAGCAAGTAGTACTATATCCTGTGTCACTTAGTGCCTGTGGCAGATTGTTTCATTTGACTTCTCCTTGGCTGACAACTCAATGCAGAATTCAAATTGAAATTATGGCTCTAATTTTTAGTAATAATTTTGCTGTGACCTGGTCACCTAAGAGATAGAAAACTCTGTATTCTTATCCACAAACTCAAAATTCAGTAATTGACTGTCCCAAAATTGGAGCACTTGATCATCAAAATGTCAGTTTTAGGAATTTTCTAATCTTAATGCTAGTAAGTCCAGCTAGTAATTATTCAAGGAGCTAGAGAATTCCTTTCCTATTTTTTTTTTAAATACCTAAATCTAATGTGAATTAATTTAAAAGATTTGGGTTCTACATTTTTATATTTCTAAATCCCTAAGTCTAATGTGAATTAATTTAAAAGATTTGGGCTCTATATTATTATATTTCTTATATGGATGGGTAAATATTGTGGTGAGTTAAGTTAGAAAAAAGTTTAAAAAAGTTTACAAATGAAAACATGATTAAGGATATATGAAATAAAAATTTCATTGAGATGAGATTTATTTGAATAAGGAAGAAAGATATTTACTTGAAGATAATAGGATATGGGCGCTGTGGGTGGTAATATATGGTAGGGAAGGCAGCAATAAACCCTGAAGAGCAACTGGGTATTTAGAATTTGGAAGTATTTGATGTTCTATTCTCATGTATAACTAATTAAAATAAATAAAAAATTAATAAATGTTTTTAGTGTATTACAGAAGATAAGCATGTAAAACTGGGATATTTGATCACTTAAATAGAATTCCTACTTTTTAGATCTTCTAAAATAATCTTGCCTTTTTGTTTATTTGTTTGTTTTTCCTAGGCTGCAGAGACTTTTGATGGTGGAAATGGTGAAACCCAAACAACATCTCCTGCTATTCCTTGGGCTGCCTTCCCTACAGGTACTGATAGATAGTAATTAGAAGTTTTTCCCCATTTAACATTTTTGCCTTTTTCAAAATCTTTTTCTACTTTTTCACTTGTCCTTCTCTGATCAGAAGATTGACTCTTTAATCTAGTTTTCATTTTAAAGAGAAAATTATGAATTACATTACAAATTCCATGATAATGGCTTGATCCTAAAAATGATCTTGGGAACATTAAATGAAATTAAAGTATAATTTATATTTTTCTAATTTATCTTAGTTTTAGAAAGGTGAGGTGTCAAATAATTTTTTAGTCTTGATCATTTGTTAAAGACTGCCATTTAATATCCTAAAAATAACATTATTTTTGCTAGTATTTAAATTGCTCATAGTAAAATCATTTAGAAATATTGAATATTAAAAATAAATCATCAAGGCTGGAGGTGTAACTCAATGGTAGAGTTTGTGCTTAGTATGTACAAGGTCTTGGGATTTAAACCCCCAACACACACACACACACACACACACACACACACACACAAACACACACAGATGCACGCACAAGTCATTAAAGAAATTAAGTACAAAAAGTTATATTATTGAGAGATATTTCTAAGAAATCTAATGTTCAGTAGTAGTATAATTCATGTCTATATAAAAATTTGACTTTTCTAGGCTTTTTTTGTCAAATCATTATAAAGTTAGGGCTTAAAGACGAAAGTCTTTTTCTTTGACAGTTTTGCCTGATCCTAGATTATTGGAGGTATGCATCCTACAAGTGTTTATTGAGTGCTTAGTTTGCATTAGACCCCATGAGGATAGAGTGTTGTGTAGAGCATCGTCTAATCCATATTTCAAGGGCAAGGGCAAGCACATGCATACTTATTTTGGGAAGCTCATTTGTCATTTGAAAGGAATGATGATTTTGTCACCCATTCATTTAGTAAATGCTTATTTCATGCCTGGTGTGACTGAGTCAGTATATATTGTTAATCTTAACTTTGAAAGATGCATGTGATTTCAAAAGACAGATATGGGATAGTAGTATGTGATTGAACCCAGTGTCCCCTGCATGCGAGGCAAGCGTTCTACCACTGAGCCATAACCCTAGCCTCAGTAGGGGAGGATTTTGAAGGGAGGAAGACAAATGGAACAAAAATGCAACAGAGGAACAAAAAGGGATGGCCTAGTTAGAATGCTCATTCTTGCTTCATGTTTTGTGTGCTCTGCCCAGAATTGTCTCCCTTACTTCCCATGCTACTTTTCCCCATTCTTTACTATCTTACTTATTAATTATGTTATTTCTTGCTTTAATGTTTCTTTTTCTGTGAAACTTCCCACTAAACCCTCTCATGTCTACATGCAACTTATTATCCAACTTCCAGTTAGATTTTAAGTTTTGTGAGTTTAGCCATCATGTCTATTTATACTATTATTGTATCTTAACTGCCAAGCATAGTGTCTAATTTATAGTTGTCCCTTGATAAGTATTTGTAGAATGAATAATTGGAAAAAAATGAATGAATTTAGTAATGTTATCAATGAATAGATTAAGATGGCAGTGGAAATCAATAGGAAGCATAAGGACAATAAATGATATTTGTGTAATGGCTTAGAATTTTTATGTACAGAACAACTACCCTTTTCCTGTTGTGTAGATGAAAAAATGATAGTATAGGTACGTTTAGAGATGAAATTTAGTCTTTCTAATTCTATTTCAGTTCTTTTCAGTAACTCCATTTTTTAAAAAAAGGCACCAGGACTTTCTGACTAGATGTGATTGTGAAAGAGGAGTCAGATTGATTTTTGAGGTTTCAAGCCTTGACTATGAAGAAATGTTGTTAGTATGACTAGAAATAGAAATAGAGAATTTCGGGGTTGGTTTTAGAGAGAGTGGGGACATAATGAATTCTCTTAAACTTGTGTATTTAAGGTCTGTAGAACTGAGTAGAAAGGTCAGGGTTAGAGTTCTGAGCTTGGGAGTTGTAGATTAATCTAGAGATGTAACTCAGTGGTAAAGCATTTGTAGGCCCTGGGTTGGGTCCTCAGTATTAGATTAAAAAAAAAAAGTCACAAAAAGGGGATCACAGGAAGAAACAGTGTATAGAAAGAGTAGGGCTGAATGGATTAATATAGGTGTCCATAGAGAATAGAGTTCTTTGAGGTAAGGGGAGGGTAGTCAAGTACTACAGCATAGAAATTAGAAAATTTTGAAAAAGCTATTATCAACTAGTGTCAAAGGCTGTAGAGAGGATGATTGGTGAGATTGTAGGTTCATGGAAAACCCATAGGTGGCTAACCATGGTTTTTGAGGAAATAGATTCAGTAGATTGGAAGTCGAAACCAATTTTTAACTTTCTATAAAAGCAGGAACAGAATCTGTTTTTCTATAATAACTTATGGCAGTATACTAAAGAATTATATATTATGGGAAAATTATCTAATTTCTGTTTCTCAGAAATGAACACTATATGATTTTTGTGTTCAAATCAACACTATATGATATATGTGTTCACTACATGATTTTTCAAGTCTTCAAAGTCTTCAAAGCCAAAACCAGTTAGAATTAAAGAACAACTTCTTTTCTGTGTGTGCGCATGCACACACACACACATACACACACAGAGTCTGTTCCTCACTTCCTTAAAAACAAAACAAAACAAAATCTCCCAGGGCTATAGAAAGTACTCTTTTGGGATTTTTTTTTTTTTTTTTTCAGAAAGGAGAAAAAACAAACCTGGCTAAGGGTTGAAGTTAAAAACCTGGTACATGTTCTTCTAGCCAAAGCAATCTTTTTTCTCTTCCATAGGTAGTTTGTTTTCTTCTGGCTCCTGGGGAAGTCAGCCTCTGATTTAGGTAGCTAGAAAATGTTTAGATGAGAGTGATATGAATAGGCTAATTGGCATAACAATTTAATCATTTCTACACTAACACCAGTGAAGATAGAACCTTTAAGAGATCTGAGATTCTTTTCAGCCTAAGACAAATTTTCTCCTTGTTTTTTTTTCTACCTGAGGTATAGCCTCAGCTGTCTATGATATATATGAAAAATATTTCTTGAAATAGATGAATATTAATCAAGTTTTACTGTAGCTTAAAATCTAAGATAATAACTCAGTAATATTGTTTTAAGTTTTGAAGTATTCAGGGGGGAAATGAAAATCTTCACTCTTGGTGTTAGGTTAAGGAATTTTGTTAGAGTATAATGGACTAGTAGATCTTGTGTTTATACTTTTTCAGGACTCATGGTTAGATGGAGCATGATTTTTGTAATAGCAACAGGAATAATTAATGGATCTCTCCAAGTGTCTGTTTATAACCTGCCAATCTGTCAGTGGGTCCAGGTACCTCGAGATCTGCATTTTTCTGTACATTAGCATCATTAACATAATGGAGCCTTTTAAAATTCTAGCTTATATGTAATTCTGAAGATGAAATTAATTAATTAATTAATTGCCAGATAGCATAAATGAAATTCAAATTCTTATCTGTGGGCTTATATATATCATGTTAGAGCATCTAACTTGTAATATGTGTCTTTACACACCCATTATCAGGAATTGGAGAAGGTAAGTGATGAATATGAAATTAGCAATCTCTTCTTTACCTTTTGCTCTTACTCTCTATAAACATGGATATTATTACTTTATTTCAGTGAAAGCTATCCAAGAAGAATTGCCTTTATTCACACATTTTCCTCCTTTTCCACAGTCTTACCTTCTAGATTGCTTTCTGTGATTATTCTCTTAGAAGCCTGTGAGCTAAACTGTGATCTATGTAGTGTTTCTGTGCCTTTGCCATTGCTCCTAATTGTAATACCTTTCCTCATCTCCCATATGCTTACCTGAGTCATATTTTTCAAGAAAAGCTTTACACTAAATTTATTCTGAATTAGTTCTGTATCTCATTAACTTCTTCCTATGAGGAACTGTTATCATTTTATTCCTGCAGTACTTGTTTTGTTCTTAGTTCTTGCTAATTCATAGTTTTAAAAGTTGTGGTAAAACACATGCAACAGAATTTACCATCTTAATAATTTTAAAGTATATAGGTCAGTATTGTACCTTGTAAAATTGAAACTCTATACCTATTAAACAACTCCCTGTTTTCCCTCTCTCCTCAGTCCCTGACAATCACTTTTGTACTTTCAGTTTCTTTTTCTTTTTTTTTAATTGATTTTATTATTTTTTTGTACTTTCAGTTTCTATGAATTTGTTATAGATACCTCTTTAAGTAGAATCATACAGTATGTGTCTTTTGTTTTGGGCTGGGCATTGATCTCAAGAACTTGCATATGTTTGTCAGGTGCTATACTACTAAACTACATCTCCAGGCCTTTTGAGAAAAATTATTTTGAGGCAGGGTCTTGGTAAGTAGCTCAGACTGGTCTCAAATTTTTTATCCTTCTACCTCAGCCTCTTGAGTAGCTGGGATTACAGGCATGAGCACCACATTTGGCCAGTATTTGTCTTTTTGTGACTATCTTATTTTACTTTGAATAACATCTTAAAGATTCATTTATGTTGTAGCATGTGTCAAAATTTACTCCCTTTTTAATCCTGTGTAATATTCCATTGTGTATTTTGATTTCCTTTCTTAATACATTCATCTGTTCATGGATATTTGGGTTGATTCCACCTTTGACTATTTTAAATAAGGTTGCTATGAATATGGGTGTTTATTTTGTAATTTTAGTATCATTTTATCAGTATGACTCATCTCTCTGTTTCCTTTTTAGTCTGAGCTTTGGAGGACAGAGACCAGGTTTTAAACTTTTCCAGCCCCCAAGTGCCTAATATAGCACTATGCCTTGTTAAAAATCAGTGCCCACTATTTCTTGGTGATTAGTAGAACAGATTTACTTTCAGTTATCTTTTCTTGATTATTTTTAATTCTGTGGGGTGAATTAAATAGTCTTTCGATGATAAGTTAGAAGGGTGCAAACCTAAACTTTCCTTTAAAAATACATTAATCTTGAAAATCTTTGGTATTTATTCAAAGATAGCTAAGAAATTATTTCCTTTGGGACTTAGTTT